GATTCTGGATGTGAGTATACGCATAACGCGAGAAGCCCATTCATGGTGCCTCCAACCGTGAAAATGTGGGGATATCGCTAAATGTGACGTTAAACCCAAAACTCTAACCACAAAAATGAAAGCAAGTTAATGATATTCACAATAATATGTAATATTGATGTGTCGTACTTACAGGATATATGCCTTATAAAAGTAAAGTTAGTGCGACAACTAGCTCAACATATCAAGGTAATAGACCATTGTCACTGACGATCTAGGTGTCAAAATTATTCATTACGCTAATCATAGACAGCGCGACAGATGGGTGTGTCCCAGCGACTATATTACCTGTGGAATGTAAATGACAAGCAGACAATCAATCAGTAGAAATGAACTGTTGTGACAAGCACAGGCACACACGGACATTTAAGTGTGGTTTGGTTTGTTGTTTAACGCCGCACTCAGCAATATTCCAGCTATATGACTGCGGTCTGTAAATAATCGAGTCTGGACCTGACAATCCAGTGATTGATATCATGACATCGATCAACGCCATTGGGATCGATGACATGCTTCAACCAAGTCAGTGAGCCTGACCACCCAATTCCGTTAGTCGCCTCTTACGACAAGCATAGTCGTCTTTTCCGGCAAGCACGGGTTGCTGAAGACCTATTCCACCCCGGAATCTTCACGGGTCCAGCAGAAAAGAACTGTTGTGACAAGCACAGGCACACGTGGACATTTAAGTGTGGTTTGGTTTGTTGTTTAACGCCGCACTCAGCAATATTCCAGCTATATGACTGCGGTCTGCAAATAATCGAGTCTGGACCTGACAATCCAGTGATTGATATCATGAGCATCGATCAACGCAATTGGGATCGATGACATGCTTCAACCAAGTCAGTGAGCCTGACCACCCAATCCCGATAGTTGCCTCTTACGACAAGCATAGTCGTCTTTTCCGGCAAGCATGGGTTGCTGAAGACCTATTCCACCCCTGAATCTTCACGGGTCCAGTAGAAATGAATTGTTGTGACAAGCACAGGCACACGCGGACATTTAAGTGTGGTTTGGTTTGTTGTTTAACGCCGCACTCAGCAATATTCCAGCTATATGACTGCGGTCTGTAAATAATCGAGTCTGGACCTGACCATCCAGTGATTGATATCATGAGCATCGATCCACGCCATTGGGATCGATGACACGCCTCAATCAAGTCAGCGAGCCTGACCACCCAATCCCGATAGTCGCCCTTACGACAAGCATAGTCGCCTTTTCCAGCAAGCATGGGTTGCTGAAGACCTATCCTACCCCAGATCTTCACGGTTCCCTTTCTTATGTAGTATAATTTCCTATGATTTGTGATTGTACCAAAACGTATACGGTTTCAATGTCCAAATTTGCGCTGGAATAATATAGTTCTTCGTTATCCACAGCACCTTCCATTGAGCAATGTCTAAACGTAGCGGAGTTATGCCCTCTTTTGGTGTGAGTGTCTATTGTCGCCTTTTAACGTCATGGGTAAAAACCGGATATTTGGGTTCCGTTCGTTTGTCAAGAATGTCATCATGTTTGGTGTTTGTCATATTGCTTTACCTAATGCAAAGACACTGTGACACTGTGATGCTGGTACAACTCATGTAATAGTAATGGGATATTACAGTATCAGTGGTTCACATATGGCATTGTAATACTGTAATAATTGTACAACTATGGTTGTATTGGTATTGGGAAACAATGGTATTGGGAAACTACAGAAGTACTGGTATACCTAATGCTACAGTATTGCGATACTTACAGAAATGAGCAATATGACGGCCATATGACTCGATTCAAGACAAACCAATGAGTGATATTATGAACAACGATCCACGCCTCAGGGTAAGATGCTGTGGACCTAACCACGAATCTCTATGGGGTGAATACTGTACTTTTAGTTAGGGTTAAAATAACACAACATGACAATCATCATACAAGCATATGTGTTTATCTCCAATAAAAACGATGTGTTTTGCGTCTGTACATATGTACACGGATGTGTTATACGAACTTTTCTCGAAACAGGAAAACTAAAGGTCAGTTACTTTAGTACAACAACGGAACATTGTACAGTCAAGTCTCGTTAATCCGACACTCGTTTATCCGACACTCGGCTTTATCCGACACAAATGATTTGTTTATACATTATTCATCACTGGTTGAATTTTGGACTAAAGTCTTAGGATGACGTTTCACCACAATCACGTTATATGTCTCTTCCTTCAGGCCCTATGTGCCACTGCTGTCCACTCAAAGTGACAGACCCATGTTGACAGATGACATCTATCAGTTGATTACACCTTGGTGAAGGGAATGTTAACTTTCTCTCTGTTGGCGTGACTGGAAACTAATCTATAAAATGACTTAGCGTACTGCTGTCTTGTTGACAATGTATCACACAAACAATATACCATACAGACAACTGAACAAGGGATAATCATGCCCTTGCTTGAAATTACTTGTATGATCAGTTATACACTTGAACATCACATCATTACTTAATACAATCACGACATTAAACATATAAACATATTGTTTCTGCCAAAATCCAGAGAAATGATAATTAATCCCAAAGGTTAGTGGTGTGTGTGTGTGTGTTTGTGTGTGTGTGTGTGTGTGTGTGTGTTTACGTGCTTGTGCTGGCTAATACTTTTATAATTTTATAGAGCTAGCCCACTGACACATCATGCCGCAGTTTAACATGGACACCCCACTCTGACACAGTCTGCTGACTCCGAGCCGACCAGTCCTTGTTACATCCCCTTTCGCCGAGTGCCAAGCAGGGTAACAACAAGTACCATCTTTAACACCTTTTGTTATGACGCGGGCGGATACTGAAGCCCTTATCATCCGCCGTCTGGACAGACGCTCTTTTCACTGGACCACGGATGCGGTTTAACGATAATCAGAAACATATTAACAAATGCATCAGAAGCAGATAGTGACATATTACGTACAGGTCGGAAACCTTAAGCCTTAATGTATCATAAGCATATAAACAAATATATAATCACAATAATGTAAGAAATATATACATTGCAATGAGAAAACTTCATTTCAACAGCATGTTTGTAGCTGTCTGTGCCCTCCTCCACCCTGCTCCCTACAACAGGTGTAGCTACATTCAAAATATTATAATCTATACAAATACATAGTGGGGGAGAGAGAGAAAGCAAGAAATGTTATTTTTTGTGTCACAAGCACAAGCAGTCATGGTAAAAACATTTGACATAATATGTGTTCAAAACAAAAGCTTGTACATCCAGCCTTATTATTTAAAATACAAATGTATCCAAAGTGAAAAAACAATAATAATAATAATAATAATAATAATAATAATAATAATAAAAATATAAAAAACATACAAAGAAATTTATAAATTGAATAGTATATATCTACAATACTAATAAAAATATAAGTGGTGTTTTACTTTTTAAAATTTTCAACAATAGTTATAATAATAATGGTAATTAGCTTATATAGTTTTGTCTTATATGGTATTATAGTACTTATAACGCCAAACCTTAATTCAACAGTGTTGAACAGAAACGTACCCACGCTCCAACATACATGTTTCACAGCTAGATATGTGCATAGTAATTCTATTGATTTTGCTAATGTATGTAACGTCGCCAGTCAATAATATATGCGAAGTACTTTCCCTCCTTTTAGGAGTTCATCAGCGCATATCTGTTACAATATGACGTCATCATAATAGTATGATCTATAACCTTATTATTGATAAGTTTACATAGTTTACTTTATCGCCCCAGCGTCATTCTTGATCATGTCGTCTTGGTCAATTATTAGAACGGATATCGTCACGACAAAGCAACTGTTCGCGTAATATACTTGGTTTTAATAAATTAGGCTTGGTGCTTATATGTATTGTTTTCTTATGATTTATGTTATTATGATGACTTTACATTGTAACAGCAGTACGCTGATTGACTTCTGAAAGGAGAGAAAATTATGTATTTTGACATCGTAGTTACTTTATATACATATGAGGATTCCGGGATCGTTCTCAGCAACGTATGCTGGTCATAAGAGGCAATCAAACTGATCGGGTGATCAGGCACGGTGACCTGGGTTTATTGCGTTATCGTAACCCACCAGCATGGATCATTGCTGGATTGTCTGGTCCCGGCTCGATTTTATATAGGCCGTCGTCATATTGCTTGAATGTTGATCAATGCGGCGTTTAACAGCCAACAAACAAATATATATGATTCAAAAACTGGATTAAAGTATGACGATGACTTAATATCAACATAAATGTTAACTCAAACATGTTCAATACACCGAATTGAGACTTCTCAAGAAATGCCACACGCGATGTATTTTATGAGTCATGTTTAGTTCATAAACGTCAATGCTTCGGAAACTCTTTATTGGTTTTGAATAGATCGTCGACGTCAAGGCAGCGATGAATACATTAGGCATTAAACACAGGTATTATTGAGATACTTAGTGTGCGGTCTGAGTGAGAGAGTGGCTGATACAACAGCAAATATCGAGGTAAATGATGCGTAAAAATGAAATATTAATGTATTGAATATTAGTCACACCGTTCCTAAGAAACTTTAAGATTTGTTTTGCAAGTTGAGCATCAAATCTGAAACACTCTTTATATTATGTTGATACAAATACTCATACAATTACAAAGACAGTTTTCACAGCCGCTGAAGTCTCCCGGGCGATCGAATCAGGTCAGGTGTCCCAGGAGAAATGGTTTTGTCGTTACAACACTACAATGTGACACTACAATGTGACACAACTACTAATGTGTTCTGGAATAGAAATATGTATCGATTTTTTCGCTCAGGTATAATGGTGGTTACACTATAGTATTGGCGTTGACGCAGGTTCGACCCTGTGCACAGATCACCTTTAAAAAGTCCCACCTGTTCGTGATTATTATGATTCAAAGAAACAAAAGCAATCTTTCTTTAAATCAATAATATTAATAATTAATTTTAAGATATAACAAAAGTGAAATGTTATTAACAAAAACACGATTGGACATCCCCTCCCCTCGATCCTTATACAAACACATATTTTGTAATTTCAATGCTAATAATTTCAAATAATCTTGTACAATATCATTAACATGAGTCTATGGAAAGTATCAAGTGTTTTTATATGATGATGATAGAGAATATGGAATCGCAGCGCTGGTTATTATAATACCAGCATGACTGGAAAACTATAATTTTCCGTGGCTAGTTAGGTACTTATCATCTTACATATGGAATAGCAGAGCTGGTTATTATAATACTACAAGTCTATCCAGACAATTTGCATGATTGCCCAGCTATTATTCCCCGTGGCTAGTTATTTATTGTCATCTGACGAGGTATATCAGAGCTAGTTATAATGAATTACTAATAAGTTGAAACCACTCAAAGACAATTTATAGCTTGACGATTCCACTGCTGGAGTGAACTGTGGATGGCCTTGCTCAGTCTGTTTGGGGGCATCAGGTGTTGGACCACGTCTACTTCTGAAACAATTTAAAAACGCAACATTATGCATTCATCGTGGAATCTTAAAAAAACTCTTTTGAGTTTGAGTATAATATTATGCGGGTCTATAGTACATATAAAACAGCGCTATTTTGGAGCCATGGACAATTATGGCCAATAGGGATTCAGCACATGTTATTGTACTCCACTCTTTAATCAGCACAATCTACAGCATATTAAAACACCACGCCTCTCTGGGTGTCCCGGTCAGAATGTGTAGCCGGTACGTCGTGCCTTAGTGAGTGAGTGAGTTGGGTTCAACGCCGCTTTTAACAGTTATATCGCGGCGTGTCAAGTTAATGTGGGAGGAAAGCCCTAAGTGATGCAGGCCTCAGACGTTTACAGCTTTGGTGAAACCCACGAGCACGGGTATTGTGCTGACACACTTAGAAACATAATCGGGGCGAACGGGGATTCGAACCAACAATCATAGGTTTCTGGCTATGTCATAGCGGCCTGTATATAATCTAAACTACGTTGACTAGTCCAGTTTAGACTATTTATAACAAACTGTCTGGGTAGGGAGGTGGATGGTTCTAAGCTTCCACGGTAGCTGTACAGTTGTGTGTCCCTCAGCCTGATTACGATCCCATTGGGGCCTTAGCAGTGATGTTTAGTTTGTCAGCCTCATATATACACGTGAAATACGTCAACGCCCTGCCTCACCTCGTTCCCATTAAGATGACACGTCATGGTGTCATTGAAATGCAATTCACATTTGCATCTGTTTTGATGATTTTTCAATTCAAGAGGTGAAAGAAAAGTAGGTGTGCCACGGCACTGGGTGCTCCAGACAAGATATCTTTCAGAAATTCAGTTCACGCTTGGGACGTTCCCATCTACACGCGTCTCTTCATGAGACGTTTATACATATGCATAACGTATTAAATGTATACACAATCATAGGCGTGTAGTATCTGCATACTACTGTGTACAAACAGTATCCGTGTATTTTCACTTTCGTGTCACTTTCCTCCTGTGATACTATATTCTCAAAGTTTGCTGGCTTCAATATCTGACTTATTTGATATGAGTATGGAAAGGGTTTTGCCGTTTGTATTATTATGACTTAGTTATTACATTGATGGTTAACATGATCTGGACTACCATTTTTTGTGGATTAGATCGCTGCCTTGTGTGCTGGCGATCTGGTGCCTCCCTCTGGCAGTGTGGGTTCGAATCCCGCACGAGACTCAACCCAAAACAAGTAGGAGAATCTGTACTTTACTATGAAAGTGCTGTCCCAAAATATAACATATGGAACAAGGAATGATTCATATTTAAATAACATGTGAGGTTTGACATACACCAACACGACATTTTGAAACTTGTCTTACCTTCCCGTGACATCCCTCAATTCCTGAAAGAAGACACGGAATACATTAAATCTCACTATATCAGAAACCTGTTCACTGCACTGAAGTTACATTTATGAAAACTCACCCTTAATTAGAAACTATGCTTGAGCCACTAACACATGGTGTATGGCCAGGACCGTTACTGTTACATGTGGTGATGATCAAGAGGCTTTATAGATAGGTGTCTCTGACGAGCTGTGTGGGCTTGTACACAATGACGTCGAGGTGTGGGACAATTAGATCTATCCTGTGACAGACATCGCACTTTAAGTATGGTAACAGGGACACGTATGACGTAACAAGCACGTGACGTCACATCAGACTATATGGCATGATGTCTGTGCGGGCAGAGCAGCCGATTGGTAGTAGTATTTTACAAGACGGTGACTAGCCAATAAGATGTATCAACAAGAGATGAACAACTTTTCATTGACCTCTCTTTTGAACACGATAATCTCCAGAAGAATGCATAGGAAGCTGGTGACGATGAAGGTAACCACGACTGCAATGGCGATATATTCTGTATTGTCTGGAGGCAAGGGGCACTCACTCAGTTGGAGGAGTATCTAGAACTAGGTAAACTATTCCTTTTATTCCCTTAATCCCGAATAATGAAACACACATACCACACCAGGTCATATTAAACGTGTATAACAGAGAAATACATGTAATTTTCGGGAGAAACTTGGGCCGGCCGCCGCATATGCAAGAATTGTGACGGTGACGGACCCCTCCCTGGCCTGCATGTTTATGAAATGAATGTAGCACGTGCAATATGTGTGTGACCAAATTGTATTGAACTGTATGCATTCCCACTAAATTACACGTCTCGCGACTATGCAATTATGCCACAAAAACGTTTCACAGTTTCTTTATCTCGCACTGATCCATGTACTATTCTCAATGTATCCTACCAATAAAATAACTGACATAAACTGTGTGAAGCGTGAAGAAGTTTAGATGCTTAGAAATAATCAATAGAATCGAAATCGTATTATGTTTGTTATCTGTGATGGCGATGCCTATATTGGACACAGACATATACACTTTCTCTTGGACGTTAGATATTGAAACTATTATAACTTATGATTCAGAACAAACAATCGTGTTAGAATGTTGGACTGGCAGATGGTCATTCTGTACCTATGGGGGCGGTAGAGTAGTCTTGTGGTTAAAGCGTTCGCTCGTCACGTCGAAGACGCGGGTTCGATTCCCGACATGAATACAATTTGTGAAGCCCATTTATGGTGTCCCCTGCCGTGATATAGCTTGGATATTGCTAAAAGCGGCGTAAAATCTTACTGACTCACTCACTCTGTACTTACCATGTAAAACTGTAACGCCTCCACAGGAAATTGTCCTACTCTTTTGGCACATTAATTCCAGTTGTACATCCCCAAAGTGTTCTTTTGTCATATTTATTTCTTTGACAGCGGTGATATCTGTAGGGCCAGGCACATGTCCATCTGTAAACAGTGTCTCCCGAACGCTCCCGACACGGAGTGAACCCTTGAAAGCTATAGAGCAATAGTAGTTCTGGATGGTTACTGTCAGTAATATCTTCCCATGCAGAAGATCTGGACGGTCAACGGTTATGCTGCATGGTGGGTTCTCTGAAAATTATGATACATAACATCAAACACTCTGGTAGGAATGTTATCGGCCATTCACACTTTATAACTAGTTTTATACAATTGGTTGCATGCAACACATCGTATGCAACTTGTTGTACAAAAACGTACATGCTCTATTTCTTGGACATGGAGGATTTTTACCTTCGTTGATTAAAATACTCTTCTGAATTCACCGATTTTCGTAACCCCACCACAAAGCGTACTATTTGAGCTGATAAATTCCAGTCTTACATACGCAAAGTCTGTTAGTGTCATATTTATTTCGGTAGAAGCGGTGACGTTTTCAGGTAGCTTAACGGTGGCTCCTGAACGCTCCCGACAATAAGTGAGAATTTAAAAGCTGCAGAACAATAGTAGTCCAAGATGCTTGCCGTAAAAGGCGACTATGTTTGTCGTATGAGGCGACTAATGGGACCGGGTGGTCAAGCTCGCTGACTCGGTTGATGCATGTCATTGTATCTCAATTGCGTGGATCGACGCTCATGATGTCAATCAATGGATTGTCTGGTCCAGACTCGATTATGTACAGACCGCCGTCATACAGCTGGAAATTTGCTGAGTACGGCGTGAAACAACAAACAAACAAACTGTACATGTCATGAAGAAGAAAGGACCATGTCTCCCTGGTTATGCTGAATGATGAGTTCATCCTAAATAATTACATGTGTTTGAACGCAATTTGTACATTTTGGAAAATGTCACGGTCATTCGTTCACCCCAAATAATCATAAACCTTGCAATGTACTTACTTTCAGCAACAACAAGACGACAATAAAAAAAGTTATGGTCGCCATCAGCACACCCCCATTGTCCCGCATGTCCGTGTTGTACGCTCAGTATCCTTAGTTGAGTGTAAGTTGAGTTTATAGGAACAGCCTGGAATACGCTGACAGGTGTGCAGCCCGTTTGTGAACACTGAGGACTGCTCCCAATTGGAGCACTGTAAATGGTGTTAGAGAAGGCTTGAGATGTAGAGCAGGTCAGACTAGTAGGCTCATTCAGGTAGGATTCGTCGGGGCACTGGATCTGAACCAAACCTGTGAGAAGGAACGGGACCCGGTTGTATCAAACTTTAATGTGGCATTAACGTGCCATTAAACCTTCATTAACTAATGTAGCATTAAATCCAGTTGTACTAACGTTTTAATGACGTCGTGGTGTCATTAGCGCGTCATTAACTTAATGAAGGTTAATGAAGGGCATCATTAGCGTGTCATTAAAAACAAACATGGCAGCGAACATATTGTTTGAACGCTTAGGAGGCACAAGGAAAGACCGTGTTTTCAGAAAACGAACACAACACCTCGAATCCATGAGCGATGAAGAAGTAAGGGCACGCTACCGTTTTGGGAAGACAAGCATCAGATATATCTGCGATCTTGTGAGAGATGAATTACAGCCCAAATCTGCAAGATCGCCCGCACTTAGTGTTGAACTACAGGTAAATGTTTGATAACTAACACGTCGTCACTAGAAACTCAGCTAGTTTGAAATAAACATATAATTATAGCGCCAAATTTATAGCGGGCAATTTTAAAGCGGCTATGTTTACAATGAATGAAACGCACTTCTACGTGGGTCAGCTCACTGGTCTGTGTTGGTAAAGTCATATCTGCAGCCTAATGATACCAACCTTGTAAATATATTTCACAATTGAAAGTAATGTAAATTCATGGATCCCTTTCACTTCACTCCAGAAAGATACGTTTTCAACTTGGCGTTGTCAGCCATGATCAATTTCATAAGGGGGAGTTACTCGAATGACTTAAACTAAATGTGTCGTGCACATTGAAGAGAACAGTTTTGCGTGTTCGATTCCGGCCAAAAGAACCTTTTAATTAATTAAAGCATGCACATCTTATATCAATCCTTAACACTTTACTTAGTGAGACATAATGAAAACGCAGCCAAATAAATAACAAAGTAGATATAAGTATTATGGAAATATTTGAACATTTGTCAAACCTATCATTAGCCTCTTTATAATCATTTTATCAGGTTATGGCAGCCCTGCGTTTCTTTGCAAGTGGAAGTTTCCTACAAATCACTGGCGACACAATAGGGATAGACAAATCAACAGCCTCACGAGTTATGAGGAAAGTTTACCTTGCCATTGCGTCTCTTGTGCCTAAGTTTGTTACCTGGCCGTCCGAGAGGGATATAGGCGACATTAGAAAGGAATTCTACAATATATCTCGATTTCCTGGAGTCATCGGATGTATCGATGGGACATTTGTACGGATACAGGCACCATCAGACAGCGAACCTGCCTTTGTCAATAGGAAAGGCTACCATTCGATCAACGTTCAAGCAGCGTGTGAAAGCCAAGGTGTGTTAAATAATTTTTTATAATAACAAATAAAATGTCACTGTTAAACCTGTGCATGGAGCATACACGTCCTCCCTTTAAAGTCACAAGGACAATATGTTTACGACCCTGACACCATTCACGTTGTTAAACGAAATAGCTATCAGACAAATCTTTATAGTATGATATGATTTCAGCATTTGTTGTTTAACGCCGCGATCAGCAATGTTTCAGCTATATGGCAGTGGCTGCTATATGAACCAAGTTCGATGGTAATATTGACTTATATTAACACTGACCACATTTGTCTCGTTCTGTAGGTAAATTTACTAACTTAGTGGCGAGATGGCCAGGCAGTACGCATGACAGCCACGTGTTCAAGATGAGTAAAGTGCGGCAACACCTGGAAACACACCATACGACTCTACAAGACGGCGTTATTCTCGGTGACAGTGGATACGCATGTCGTCCGTATTTGATGACTCCGTATCTAAAGCCATCTGGCCCCGAGCAAGAGCGATTCAACTCTTCCCGTAAAAGAACAAGGTCAACCATCGAAAGAGCATTTGGGTGGCTCAAACGGCGTTTCCATGTTCTGCACGGTGAAATCAGGATGAGCCCAGAGAGAGTTTGTACCATCATTGGTTAGCTTTCTAAGATAATAATATACATTGTAACTATGAAATAAATTTGAAGCTAACCGATATATAAGATCGCATATATATATATATAGCTTGAACAGTGCTAACACCAGTGGGAAACACTCCTTCATATAATATAAGAATCGAATGATAACAATACTGTAAACCCTTTAAACAATCATACTATATTTCACAGGTGCTTGTGCTGTGTTGCATAATCTGGCGATAATTCTTCGTGAACCCATGCTGGATGTTGATGGAGAGGACGGTAACATTGAAGGGCAATATACAGGTCCCGAAGATGGACGGGGCATCCGTGATTATATCACAAGGCACTATTTCACTAACTGATATGGTCAAACTGTCTCTGCTTTAATATAACTATACAGAAGAATGCAGAGATACCATCTGTTGTCACTGAAGAAAATAGTTGACAGTGTTCGCTGTATGTATTTGTCAATGCGTGCACTTTTCTCTTTTCGTGTTGAATCAAAGGGATATGGTTTCCCAGCTTTGTTTAACTTTAATTTAGATTACTGCGTAAATATTGTCCAGTGTGCAGTGCACATTTCCCTTCAGAAAAATACAGCCAAACGCCACACGCAAACAATGAGTTTGAATTTGCTGCACAACGCCAAGACTTCACGGTGAGCATGTAAGGTTCTTTGTGTATCTTTAGCAATGAGTCTATCACATTAATTTTATTGAATATGGTTTACATAAATTTCGTCGAAATCGTGTATTAACTGATCGGCTTATCTCATCAACTCATCGTTATTGACAGCTACATACGTAAAGAGCACCCAGCAATGTACCGATAGTGGTTACTTGTATATAGTATAAAGTAAAAGATGGATAACAATTTATTAAAATTGACATTGTTAGTTATCTCCCGTTCGTTCAACTGAAGCTATACAATATACAACACAACACTGTGTAGCACACTATCAAACTAATTGTATTTTTTAAATGAACTCTTAGTAACATTTCAAACATGAGGATGTCATTTTCATTCATGGTGCATCAAGCTATCCAACTCCAATCGGAGCTTCTTGTTCATGAGCTCAAAGTAAATAGTTTGCTGAATGACTTTCTTTTTCTGCTCAAGCAAAACCTCATACTGCAGTCGAGTGATGTCATCCTGTTTGATCTTTCTCTTGGTGACACGATTTGATTTCGACACAGTTAAACGTCACATATGTATAATGAGTGTGAGTGAGTTAAAGTTTAATGTCACTTATGTATGATGAGTGTGAGTGAGCTAACGTTTAACGTCACTAATGTATAACGAATGTGAGTGAGTTAAAGTGTAACGTCACTAATGTATGAGTGTGGGTGAGCTAAAGTTTAAAGACATTTATGTTTCCTGAATGTGAGTGAGTTAACGTTTAATGTCACTAATGTATAATGGGTGTCAGTGAGTTAACGTTTAACGTCACTAATGTATAATGAGTGTTAGTGACTTAACGTTAAACGTCACTAATGAATAATGGATTTGGGGGAGTTAAAGTTTAAAATCACTTATGTATGATGAGAGTGAGTGAGTTAACGCTTAACGTCACTAATGTATAATGAATGTGAGTGAGTTAATGTTTGACGTTACTAATGTTTAATGAATGTGAGTGAGTTAAAGTTTAACGTCACTAATGTATAATGAATGTGAGTGAGTTGACGTTTAAAGTCAGTGATGTATAGTGAATGTGAGTAAGTTAACGTTTAACGTCACTAATGTATAATGAGTGTGAGTGATTTCAAGTGTAACGTCACTAATGTATAATGACTGTGAGTGAGTTAATCTTTGACATTACTAATGTATAATGAATGTGAGTGAGATAAAGTTTAACGTCACTAATGTCTAACGTGTGTCAGTGAGTTAAAGTTTAACGTCACTTATGTATGATGAGTGTGAGTGAGTTAACGTTTAACGTCACTAAAGTATAATTGGTGTCAGTGAATTCAAGTTAATGTCACTTATGTATGATGAGTGTGAGTGAGTTAACGTTTAACGTGACTAATGCATAATGAGAGTGAGCGAGTTAACGTTTAACGTTACTAATGTACAATGGATGTGAGTCAGTTAAAGTTTAACGTCACTAATGTATAATGAGTGTGAGTGAGTTAAAGTTTAACGTCACTTATGTATAATGAGTGAGTGAGTTAAAGTTTAACGTCACTAATGTATAATGAGTGTGAGTGAGTTAACGTTTAATGTCCCTTATGCATAATGAGTATTGGTGAGCTAATGTTTAACGTCAAGAATGTATAATGAATGTGAGTGAGTTGACGTTTAAAGTCAGTGATGTATAGTTAATGTGAGTAAGTTAACGTTTAACGTCACTAATGTATAATGAGTGTGAGTGAGTTAATCTTTGACATTACTAATGTATAATGAATGTGAGTGAGTTAAAGTTTAATGTCACTTATGTATGATGAGTGTGAGTGAGTTAAAGTGTAACGTCACTAATGTAAAATAAGTGTGAGAGAGGTCAGGTTTTACGTCACAAATGTATAATGAGTGTGAGTAACTTAACGTTTAACGTCATTGATGTATAATGGGTGTCAGTGTGTTAAAGTTTAATGTCACTTATGTATGATGAGTGTGAGTGAGTTAACGTTTAACGTCACTAATGTATAATGAGTGTGGGTGAGCTAAAGTTTAAAGACACTTATGTTTCATGAGTGAGTATGGTTTTACGCCGCTTTTAGCAATATTCCAGCAATATCACGGCGGGGGACACCAGAAATGGGCTTCACACATTGTACCCATGTCGGGAATCAAACCCGGGTCTTTGGCGTGATGAGCGAACGCTTTAACCACTAGACTCCCCGACCGCCCGTATGTTTTCTGAATGTGAGTGAGTTAACGTTTAATGTCACTCATGTATAATGGGTGTCAGTGAGTTAACGTTTAACGTCGCTTATGTATAATGAGTGTGAGTGAGTAAAAAGTTTAACGTCACTTACGTATAATGAGTGTGAGTGAGTTAACGTTTAATGTCCCTTATGCATAATAAGTATAGGTGGGTTAATGTTTAACGTCACTTATGTATAATGAGTGTGAGTAAGTTAACGCTTAACGTCACTAATG